TAAAACCGGCAAGCTAAAACTGTCCTATGTAGTTTTGTATTGCTTTATTCGTTGTATAGTGCATGCACATGGTGAAAGATATCTCATCCGATAGGTACTAGTCAGTTCTAACGATTTTGACATAACTTAGTGTACGTGGTAGTGTTCTAGAAATGCTAGGATCTCTAAAATCCGTCTGATAAACTGGTAGTTTGATATTTCATTGGTTTATTCGCTCTGCACTGTGTGCCAATCAGAAAACACACCTCGCTCGATACGTCTCAATAAGCTCTATCCATTCACATATCATTTAATGTACATAGAGTACTTCAAAGGTGCTGCAGTTTCTAAAACCCATTGGACTAGAGAAATTCGCAGTGTTTTGTTAGCTTATTCGCTCTCCATTGTGTGCTAACTTGAAAACCTATTCGATCCGACACATCTCGACGACCTCTATCCATTGGTATGTAATTCAGGATACTCAGTAGCACTTTCCAGGCGCTAGCGTCCGTAAACTCATTTCGACAGCAAAAACTCGAGGTACTTCGTGAGTTTATTCGCTCCGCATGGTATGCTAGTGGTGTAAACCATCTAAGTAGATGTTTGTCAAGTGCCACTATCGATTACTATATGACTTCTTGCGGAAAGCAGTATTTTTCGAAATACTAGCTGTTCGAAATGGTCTCTGAGACTTGGATTGTCTAGCATGTGTGGGTTTGAGTATGAGTGTACAGTAAGCGGAAATATACATACTTGGATGCTCGTCAGAAGTGTCAGCATTAATAATCTCCTGAATCCTTTGCAATAATAGAGAAATGCTAGATATAGCAGAGAATCGATTCATAAGCACAGATTATTTCGCAAATGCTACTTCTCATTTGCGAATTTAACTGTCCACATCGAGCATGGGTGTGGGGTGTGGGTGGGGGTGTGGGGTGTGGGTGTGGGTGTGGGTGTGGGTGTGGGTGTGGGTGTGGGTGTGGGTGTGGGTGTGCACGTAGTTCTTCCCTTAATCCACACCCATACCCACACCCCACACACACCCACACCCTCAAACGGCCGAATATTTTCAAAACGTTTGGCGAAAGTAGATGTACACCTTCCAATGGAAGAACGAACCTTCTAGGTAACCTGATTATTGAGAAAAGTTAATAAGACCGCGGCCAAAACGTCATTGCATTACGCTGGTACACGCTGATATACAGTCTTACATGTTCTACAATCTGCTATACAAAAAGCTGTTAACGCAATCCCTGCAGGATTAAAAATGTGAAACACGATGTACCTATTATATCTAATGATAGGAAGATAGTTTATATCATATGTTTCTAGCTTGTGATGTGTGATAGATTTACATCGATGGTAGCAGAAGAATAATGAAACTGTTTTTGGAGTTTAGTTTTTTCGTAATGTATAAAGAGTAAATTCTCAATACAAAAGAAAAATAATATCGTATGCGATGTCAGGTAACTAATATAACAACTTGACTTTCGTTTTAGTTTTTATAAGTTTATTGTTTTCATTCATGGGTAGTATAAAACAGAGGAGGAACGAGTAAGTTCTACATTTTGTGTAGCTAACTGCTTCTTCAGTTTTTCTATGGCATATGTTTTAATTGTACAGTGTGTTTCTCTGGAATAGCGATGTATCTGTGATGGATCCAGAGCCTGTCTGTCACGGTCTGTGATGCGTCTAAAGCTTGTCTGTCACGGTCTATGATGGGTCCAAAGCCTGTCTGTCACGGTTTGTGATGGGTTCAGAGCGTGTCTGTCACGGTCTGTGATGGGTCCAAAGCCTGTTTGTCACGGTCTGTGGGAGGGGGGGGGGGGCAAGTTCTGCCCTATATACTTTGACACTCCTTTCAGATCGTGTTTCACAAAATATATAACTTAAAAAATGGAGTTTTTTACAGGAGTGGTTAAAGTTTTATATCGAAAATTCTCGCTTCTAGAAAAAAAAAATTGAAAGTTCTATTGATCTTTAACGTACAATCTTCAAATAACTGAAAAATGCATCTATCTCGTTTATCATTTTCCTGACGAAAAGGAGACGGTCGTTAAAAACCTAAATCTGCGCCCTCGAAAAATATAGCTTAGCCTATCTTAAACCGCTGTAGACAATGTCCAAATATCGTTTCTACTTGATTTACTCCTTCAACTCATGCTTTTCCTCTTAATAAGTGGGCCGAATCAGTCCATAAACATTGATTTTCACCTTTGATGCTAATCTGACTTTTTATCATATAAGATGATGTTTGATCGAGCTAGTATTTCCACAGTTTGATAGCGCTCGAAACGGGCTACAAGATGGTATATGGACACATAGGAGAAATGTGGACCGATACGAATTCATATGTGTCACATCTCCATAATGTATGTACATGATACGTTATTTTTTATGTTATCATTCAAAAGAAGTAGCCATACCAAAGGTCTACCATTTTAGTGTTGGCATGATTTGATAGCACTTTTCAAGCGCTACAAAACGATATAAAAATATCGTCAAAAAAGCTTTGGCCATACATGTTTTGATACTTTTTTATTAAAATTTTGCAGATTTGAACTAAAGCATCCGATAACTTAATAAAATCAATGCGGCATTCAAAATCAAGATTCAAAACTGAGTAGATGTATACGAGTCTCGGATACTTTTATCAACTTTTATTTTCTCTCAATACTTTTCACCCTAGTCACCTCAGGATTAATTGAAAAAAATGAACATCTTCAAATGACTAATTAAGGTAATGGAATGACCTTTGGAGGGTGTAGAAAGATACCAGGGCTCGTAGCGGTAGCAGAATAAACGATGAAACATTCGCTATCGAGAAATTCTATTTCTCACTTATCCTTGAGGGAAACTAGGGTGAAAAATATTGACAGAAAATAAAAGTTGATAAAAGTGTACAAAAATCGTATATGTGTACTCAGTTTTGAATGCTGATTTTCAATATCTTATTGATTTCATTAAGATCGTGGGTATTTTCATTCAAATCTTCAAAATTTTGACAAAAAAAGCATGAAAACATGTATCCAGTCTAGTATCTGTAGAGAATATTTTTTTTGTGGCCAATGCTTTTTTGTCGATATTTTTATATCGTTTTCTAGCGCTTGAACTGTGCTATCCAACCATGTCAACACTAAAATAGCCAAGAAGGAAGCAGCAGACTCCAGTCTCTTGTAGTCATGCAGAGGCACCTGGAGCCACATGGAGTCCAGTGAAGTCAAGCGAAGTTCCATGGAGTCACTTGGAATCATATGAATTCATATGGAGTCAAATGGAGTCTTGCAAAATTAGTATCTATCTTCAGAAATCCGATATAGAAATTTGATACTGCTATGTTTTGATTTAGTTTAAACATGTGTAACTTCAGATGAAATAGATATTAATCTTGATTTAGAGGGAAAACTGCAACATCCTTCTCGTATTCGTATTCAGCTAAGGAAGAAACGATAGACTCTACTCCTATGGAGTCTCCCGTATTCTTACGGGGTCCGTTGCACCCTGGAGTCCTGAAGTCCTGAAGTTTACCAATTCTTCCTTAAACTGATTTGTTTGGACAGCTCTTTTGACAGAAATTGTCTGAACACAATTCCCACAACACAAGAGTATTGTCCAGTACTAGACCTGCACCGAACTAAAAGTTTTGATTTTGAGGTTTTGGCTTTTGTTATCGCAAATCTGAAAGGATGAGTAAAGACAACGAAAATTACTCGTTTGCTTCTCCACGCTCTGATTGGTCGAAAATTGAATTCTTCTTTCAAGGCCATGAAAGCGTTTTTTGAGGTTCTTCACAAATCTGATATAGGCTTTCGAGACCGAGGAATTTGAATCTGTGCTGCATTAGCTTCGAAACCTTATTGGGCAGTCAACAACCAATAGAAACTGAGTTTTTCATGAAATAGTCTTCTAGGAGTAATTCGAGGTGCGGAGTTCTAATTTGGGCTGCATTATCCTTCAAATCCTATTGTTGGAGCAGGCATCCATAGAAATCGAATTTTTCAGAAACGGAGGCCAGATGCGAACTTTCCACCACGGCTGGCAACTGACGAAGTCTAAATTGTGGAAACTTATTTTATTGGAAATTTTTAGTATTTTTGAGAATATTAAGCATTTTTGCATATCTATGGCATTTTTTTAATGTTTTCAAAATGTCAAAACATAGAGAACAACATGAAAAAAATAGAAAATTTACTAACGAGGGGACATTCCCAGGTGTTAGAGCGCTTTTGAGTCGGAACTTAGTGCATCTTATAGACCTTAGTGAATTATGTTTATGGTAAAAAGAGTTCGTGCCCATGGCTTGTTTCTGGCGAGATATCGAGGTTTTAGTGAATTTTCTCTATAAGACCCTACTTTTCCAGCACAACCTTATTCTCGAATTTTTGACATGAAACTTTGCCCACATAAAGACCTCAGATAGACTAGCTTGCAAAAAAAATTTCAGAACTTTTCGATGAAGTCTCTTCGAGATATGAAGATGACAAAATATAGACTTTTTTCTTAGATAGTGTATACAGCATGCATTTTTTGAAATCTTCATATCTTGAAAAGACTTCATCGAAAAGTTCTAAAATTTTTTTTGCAAGCTAGTCTATCTAAGGTCTTTATGTGAGCAAAGTTTCATGTCAAAAATTCGAGAATAAGGTTGTGCTGGAAAAGTAGGGTCTTATAGAGGAAATTCACTAAAACCTCGATATCTCGCCAGAAACAAGCCATGGGCACGAACTCTTTTTACCATAAACATAATTCACTAAGGTCTATAAGATGCACTAAGTTCCGACTCAAAAGCGCTCTAACACCTGGGAATGTTCCCTCGTAAGCGCGCTGTTTATTGGAAATCCTTTTTTTTTTTTGGTGCCAACGATTTATTTATTTTGTAATTAAATAAATCTACACACAAGAAAGAATAACGGAAAAGGAGAGAGAAAAAGGGAAAGGAAGAAGAAAATGGAAAAAAAAAGAAGGAAGAGAAATTTAGGACTCTTGACATCAGTCTTATGCCCTAAGAAGAGAAATTTGGTTTATATATCACTTCGTTCAATATGTAGTTGAATCTTTAATAGATTATTTTCAGTTATTTTATCGTCATAGATTCGAGCTCGTGTAATTGATTGTTCGAATAGTGTTGTTGAATATGCCTTTATTTCTTGTATATTGCTTACACTATGGACGTATTTGGTTGATGTATATATAGGAAAACCCAGTGTTGCTTTTAACGCTTTGTTTTGTATTGTTTGTAATCGTTTCCATATATTTTCTTTAGCTGTTAACAAGATAGTAGATCCATAAGAAATAACCGATCGAACTAATGATTTATATAAAGTAAGCATAGTATTCAGATTAGCATTTGGATTTAATTTAGACAAAAATCTAAGGAGACTAATTCTTGATGCTACTTTAGTTTCGACGTGTTTCACTTGAGTTCTCCAATCCAGTTTATGATCAAATATAACGCCCAGATATCTTGCTGAAGAAGTTGGTTTGATAATTATATCTTCAACTTCAATTTCTAATTTTTTCCTATACTTTTTCCGTGGATGAGGGCTAAAATACAGTAGCTCAGTTTTTGTGGGTTGGATTGTCAACTTCCACGAACTACACCATTTTTGAAATTCATTTATTGACGATTGAAGACGATAATTTAGGTTTGTAATGGTATTTGATGTTGTCCACAGTGCTGCGTCATCAGCAAATAATCCATATTCGGTATGTTGGTGAATGCTGTTCATCGAATCACTCGTATATATTATGTATAGTAGTGGTGATAATGGTGAGCCTTGAGGTGTTCCACTCTTTAATAAAATTAATTTTGATAAAATATTTTCTATTTCTATTGAAGCAGTTCGATTATCAAGAAAGGATATAATATAACATATTAAATAATCTGGTAATCGTAGATCAAATAACTTATAAATTATTCCATCAAACCATACGGTATCGAAAGCTGCTTTTATATCAAAAAAAATTACTGCTGAGTGTTGTCGTTTTTGCAATTGTTCTCGAGCATATCGTTCAAGTCGAATAATATTGTACATAGTGTTTCTATGTGATCGAAAACCAGCTTGATGTAATGGTAAAATATTTCTTTCATTTAATTCTTTAAACATCCTCTGCTTGATAATTTTCTCTAAAACTTTTCCTATGCAACTTAAGAGACTTATTGGTCGATAACTCGACGGTTGCTTTGAATCTTTTTTTGGTTTAAGTAAAAGAATGATGTTGGCGTTTTTCCAAATACGTGGAATATATCCAATATCGATGATTGAATTAAAAATCTTTTCAAGATGTTGAACCAATGATGATGTGTAGTTTTTGAGACAGCGATTGTGTATGGAATCAGGACCAGGCGAGCTATTTGGAAGTTGTTTCAGTATTGATTTAATTTCTTTCTTAGTTATTGGAGATGTTTTATTTTTGTTGTCTGTTCTTGTTAATCTTCTTTTAATTCCTTCCACCTTTTTCCTAACTTGATTGTGAAAAGGTAGATGATCGGGTTTTACGACGAATATTTCATTTTCAAAATATGATGCAAATAAATTAGCTTTTTCATAATCAGTGTTGGCTATTTGGTTTCGGTATATTAATTCACCTGTGTGTGATTTCTTCATTCTTTTATTGTGAAATTTACGAACAGTTGCCCATACTTTATCTGAACTCATCTTATTTTCTCTTAATGATGACATTATTTGGTTCATTTTTTCAATTCGTTCATTTCGAAGAGCATTTGCTAGAAGTGCTCTACTATTATAATATTCTTTTTTATCATTTTCATTGTTCGTTCTTCTCCATTTTCTAAAAGCTCGATGTTTACATTCAATAAGTTTTTTTGTTGTTTTGGAAATTTGAAAATTTTTCAATGTTTCGTTGGTTGAGGGAATTGCTGATTTCGTTGCAATAATAATACATTCTGTAAGTGTTGATACATATGATTCAATCTGTTCTGCTGTCGTGATTGTTTTCTTCTGATCGATTTTACTCAGAAGATCATTTAATTTATTTCGGTAAAGCTGCCAGTTGGCCAATTTGAAGTTGAAGGATATTCGAGGAGATTGTGGTTTTTTTT